CTTGTGTTTGTCCAAAACTAGGCATTCAAATTCTTTCCCAATGACTCAATCATTCTTATATTATTATATATAGAAGAAGAAGCCCTCTTTTTATCTTGCTAATTTGGGTATTCAAATAAGGATTCAGCACTGCACCAAGCATTTGGTTCAATATTCAGTACATGATTTTAAGTAGAGTTTGAATATTTCTTTTACAAATTTAAAAACAAAAAATGAAAAATGTAAGGCATTTTGTAAATTATTTGCCTTCCTCTTCTCTTGGTTGATTTTGACCAATAATTGCAAATTAAGAAGATTAATTCTTCATTTTAGTATCATATTATATGAGTAGGATCCAAACTAAGACGCTCACTAGAGTATGGGTTTATATTTGTATTAATCTACTTATTAAACTGCTACTATTTCCAAATTAAAGACGAACATCATAGTAAAAGAAGTCAGCCAAATAAACCATTCCGAAATCCATATAAAAATATATATATATTTGGGTGGCCAGGCGTTCAGAAGGTAATGATTTAACAACTTAAAATAATGGTCGCTTTACATTGTTTAAAATATAGGATAAGATTAATTATCCACCCTAACCGCCTGTTGAATCAAGGCCACAGCTTATACTGTTGGTCTGCCCAAATCATATAGCCTCACAAAATGACAGCTGATGACCAAATCCTGCCATTTTTTTCAATACAAACTAATTAGAAATTAAAAGATGTACAATTCTTTTTCCTTTCAATGAAGTTTGGAGAGCATGCTTTTTACAGTAAGAATGGTCGAAGAATCCACAAGGATTAATCTAAATGATAAAGAGAGAATTTTTTTTCCTTCTTAATCATATTGATTCAATCTTTATGAAGAATGTTCCGAAAATAAAATTTTAATACATTAAATTAATATGAATAAATATGCCATTAATATCAAAAAAATTAAGTTCAAACAAAACTCGAAGACATATCTAATCATATTATCAAAATAAAAAGAAAATGTTGAAGATTAATAAAGGAATTAAAATTTAGCATCATAAACCACTTGGCATTTGCTACGATTTGGACTGTCACGAGGGATCCCACATGATACCTATGGGTTCTGTCAGCATCGTCATGTAACTCTTTTCTATTAAAACTACAAATACCAGCTCCTTACATTGGGGTGAATTATTTTTGTGTCAAAAAATTTTTTATTATTATTATTTATTATTTTGAATATATTTATAATTATTTTAATATATAATTTAATAGAGTATTATAGTAATTTTCAAACAAAATATCATATGTTAATTTTCTATAAAACAATTATAAAAATATTTTCATAATTATAACAAAAGATATTATAATAATTTTGATCAATTATAATAAAAGTATTTCTATAATTATAATAAAAGGAATATTATAGTCATTTAAAATACATGTCACCTCATCAAAATATCATAGGAGCATCCTGGTAATCTCAATGAAAGAATAATAATTTAATATGTAGTTAATTTTAATACTTTAATATGTAGTTATTTTTATATTATATTAAAAGTTAATATATGCAATTAATAAGAGTATTATAACAATTTTCAAATAAAATCTCACATGTCAAATTTTTATGAAAAAATAATAAAGGTATTTTAGTAATTTAATTTGTAGTTAATTTCATATTATATTAAAATTTAATAAGTAATTTTAATATGGGTATTATAATAATTTTCAAATAAAATAGTGATAGAGGTGAGCTTAGTTATTATAATAGTAAAATTAAAATTAATAGTAAGATATGTATTTCGATCTAAAAATAATAATGGCGGTGAAGTGAATTGTAGAAAAAAAAATGACCATTAAAAATATTAAAATAAAAATTATATTAACAAAAATTTTAAATTATTTAATATTTATAAAATTAATTAGAATTTTATTTATTAATTTATTATAATAAATAAGTTTTATTTATTATAAAATAAATTATTAAATTTATTTTATAGTTTTTAAATAAAAAATAAAAAATTACAGTATAAGGATTTTTTTGGTAATATAACATAAAGAATAAAAAGGGAAAAAAAAAATGAAGTCCAGTGCATTTTTCAACTGGAGCTAAATCCTCCAATAAAAAAAAAAGATAAATGTGGCATAGCTTTGACGTCTAAACAGATGCTAAACATCAATTGGCACAAATTTTGGCAACTATATCTCACCGGAGGTGCAGGGCCTAAGGGCCTTTTTGGATCATCAGTTACTGCCAGTGCGGCACGATTAGGATGCTTAATCAGGCCGAAAGCTTGTTTGGATAATAGGATCCGATAAGATTAAGCTTCGGCCATTGCACTGAAGCTTCAGTGAGTCTCTCCTAATCGCAGCTCTTTATTTCCATTTCAGCCCACATTTCAATTTTTTTTTTTACTCTTTTACCCTTCTTATTGTTGTGCTAAAACAAAAATATCCTGATCACTAACTTTTTTTTTCATTTTTATTTTTATTTAAAAATATTCAAATAATCTTATATAAATAAATATGATTATATAATTACATAGTAATTTTATTAATTTATTATAATAAATAAATTTTATTTATTATATAATAAATTAATAAATAAATAAAATTATAATTAATTTTGTAAATATTAAATAATTTAAAGTTTTGATTAATATGATTTTTATTCTAATATTTCTAATGATCATTTTTTCACTATAATTCACTTCACTGTCATTATTACTTTTACATCCAAACATATATTTTATCATTAATTTTAATTTTATTATTATATTATTTAATTTTACCATTACAATAATTAATTTTATTTTTATCACTATTTTTAATTTCATTAAAACTAATCTGTTGTCCATCCAAATGAATCTAAAATCAATAGAAGATGAGTAGTGAACATGGTTTTTTATTTATATAGTTGAAAAGTAGAAAAGATTGTTATATCTTTCATCTCATGTGTTGGAAGCCCAAATTTGATTTGGGCAAATTCTTTCAAACCCATATCTCCTAATGGGTCAAAAACAAGGCCTGCTATATCAGCGAGCTTTAACCACTTATGTCCGAAGCCTTTAAGATCAAAACAAAATTGTCAAACTCAAAAAATCTACAAAATTGTCTTCTTTAGCAACAGTTTGTTCAATTCTTCCAAGCAATTTACTCTCCCCCAGGTGTTCATTGTTGGTACCACCTTCGTCTTGTCCTTTAGTAACAAAATATATACCTTGTTGTTTCCTTTGATGTTACATTGAAAATGATTTTTTTTTCTTCTGATTTCATTTCTTCAATAGACTTCCAATGGCTACAGCACAAAATTCATAGATTGATTTGTCAATATCACTAATTGGTGGGTTACCAATTGCCATCATATATGAATTCAATGAAATTGATTTTTTTTAATGAAATTTTATCTCAAATTAATTTTTATGACTAGGGAATTCAAAAATAACAGTTAACATATGATTATGAAATATAATATTCCTCTAAAAATATATATGAATGGATTTTTTTTTGAAGAATTAATGAACCTTTGTATTTTGTTTATCCCCAATGCATATTGGCCATTTATTTATTATTTTACATAAGGATATGCAATGAACAAGAAATAAGGTTTTTTTTTCCTGTTAATAAAGAATGAAAATAACTTTTGTCAATAATTGGTGCATAAAAGAGTGAATATTAGCTCAATGATACATGTATCTATTTATTTGAAGATTTAATTTTGATTTTCTTTAGATAAAAAAACAAAGCATGTATGATTAGAAACCTATGACCATATAAATTTTTTTAAATAGTTTTTTTCACAAAAAATAACAATTAATTAAATTTAAATACTTATTCTTAAAATTTTTACGATACTTACCAGTAAAATCACAATTAAACAACATAATATCAACAATTAAGAAAGACATAATAATTTATTAATCAGCTTACTTATGAATAAAATAGTCGATCAAATTAAATCAAAATTATGAACAAAATGGAAAGCAAAAAGTTATCAAATTAGAAAAAACCCATAAAATGTAATAGCTTGCCAAAATCTTTGGTAAAAAATGTAAAAAAAAAAAAGGTTAAAGATAAAAATATCTTTAAATTTAATTAAAAAATTATTTAACTTTTTAATATTTATTGTAATCGATCAAATTTTTAATATTTTATTTTAATTCAATTAAATCTTTATTTTAACAAAATTTAATCACACGTCAAAATTGAATCAATTAATTTGTAAATTATAATTAATTGAATTCTTAAAAGAATTTTAGTGAGAAAAAAAGAGATAATAGAAAAAAATTTTATTTTATTTAATTTTTACATATATTAATTACACCACTTATATAAAATTTTATTCATTTATTAATATCATATTAAAATTTAATTTAAATTAATAAAAAATTAATGGTGTTAACTTTTTTCATTCAAATAATAATTTAATAGATGAAAATAAATCTTGAAAGACTTGATTAATTATAATAAAAAAATAAAAATTAATATAATTTTTTAGTTATAATAAAATTTTTTATATCTTTAATAAAAAAAAAGTACTTCGTAATTTTCAAAACCTAATGCCGCACGGTATTATTGCCTGTTTAAATAATCGACGGAGAGAAATATTAGAATTCAGAAAAAATGAAAGAAGATTTTGAGTATGAATGGCAACGGATTAAGTTGAAAAGGTTTTTATCCACCAATATGATTATATATATATATATATATATAAAATTCGAATTTGATTTAATTTAATTTTTAAAATATTTTTTATTTAAATTTGATTTGATTTAATATTATATAAAATTATATTTGATTTGATTTGAAATTAATAAAATATTATTTTTTAATATAAATATAAAATTAAATAAATATATAAATATAAAATTAATTAATTAATTAAAAAATAATATATATATATATATATACTTGATCAATAATATTAGATTTACCTAAAATTCAATTCTTATCCTATTTTAATTTTTTTATCATCCAATTTGATTCGATTTGATATTTGATATTTAAAAAAAAAAATTGATAAAAAAAATCCGGTGGGATCCGGATCAAAATTCCTTTTCTATTCTTGAGAGAATTGGCCAACTGGGTGGGTTCCACTGGCTAAAGCAAAACTGTCCATGTTCGAGATTCCACTAAATGGCCGTGATTGACCATCTGATTTTCACCTAACGGATGAAAATAACTTTCCATTTTCTCGTTAGACATCACTGAATCATTTCCCTCTCCCTTTCATTGTTGGACATGAAAAAGCAAGACATCAACGTCAAGTTTCAGCCAATAGTCTCGCACCACGTGTTTCCCGTAAATCCATCTTTAGGAACTCTACTTCCTTAACCTCATACACGTCACCACACCCTATCATTTCCCCTTCCCTCCTCCTCACCGGCGAGAATTGTACCTCCTCGTCACTGTACCGGAACAAAGAAACGTAAATTGCAAATAAATAATAACCGGATGAAAATTTCCGTTTCCTGACTCGGGCTCCGTTCAGTCACGCCCTTGTGTTCAGACCGACTCAGTCCTTGTTTTTCCTTCTTATAAGAAAAGAAAGAAGAGAGTGAGGAATAGAGAAGGTGATGAGAGGCAGTTTAGCAATTAACCGTCGAACGGTTTTCAAGTTACGTCAAATTGGGATCGCGACACTTGGATCGGTGAAGATCAAGATCCTTCTTTGCGGTTGCGTCGCGTTAACTCTACTCGCGGTAGCGAACCGAAACCGCGACGGTTCTTCTTCCTTGTGGGGATGGACCAGTGACGTTGCGTCGCTCGACCGCTCTTCTTCTCCACGGTGCGTTTCGCAATTAATAATCTCTTTGAATTTTGAATCTTATATTTTCGTTAGAGTGTTATTTAAGTTTAGATTAGATAAATTATTGAATATTCTTTTGGATTTTGTTGGGTAGTTTCTAAGTTTAGATATAGAAAAAGGAACTGTTGCCAAAAAAATGTTTTTTTTTTGGAAACTTAAATAAATTTAATATCTAAATTCGGAATGTTATTAAAATTTTGATCAGATTTTTAAATTGTTCATTGATCTAATTTAGATTTTGCTGAGTTTTTAATGAAAACGTCGCTAAAAGATTCTATTTATGGAAGTTAACTTTTTTTTTAACTACAAAAACAGTTAGGATCTGAAACTGAACCAGTTTGAGCTAAGAATTTTACTAAAATATTGAGAAGTGATTGGTATTCAAATTTAATATTTGATAAAAAAAATAATGTCTAGATATTTGATAAAAATATTGGTTGAAGGCTTGTGATTAGAAAAGTTACATCTTTTCAAAGTTTAAAAAAAAAAAAAAAAAAAAAAAAAAAAGCTCTCCAAAAATATCAATTTGGGCTTAAAATGTTACTGAAAATATGGAGAAATGATTGATATTCCAATATCTACTTAAGCCATTTATAGACAATTTCCCTCCCTCCTGGTTTTTGAAGAAAATTGGTGATAAAGTGGTGACGTTCAATGCTGGATTTTGTAATCTTTTTGTACAGGGGAAGATATGCAATTGTAATGAATACTTGGAAAAGATATGATCTCTTGAAGAAGTCCATTTCGCACTATGCGTCATGTCCTAGGCTTGATTCTATCCATATCATATGGAGTGAGCCTAATTCTCCATCAGATCCTCTTAAAAGATTCCTTAACCATGTTATATTCTTGAACTCTAGAAATGGTCGCCAAGTTGAGTTGATATTTGATATCAATAAGGAAGATAGCTTGAACAACAGATTTAAAGAAATTAAGGATTTGGAGACAGATGCTGTTTTTTCAATTGATGATGATGTTATATTTCCCTGCTCTTCGATAGAATTTGCTTTCACTGTTTGGCAAAGTGCCCCAGATACAATGGTGGGATATGTTCCCCGTATGCATTGGGTGGATGAAACGGTATGCAGCTGTCTTGGAAATTCTTAGTTTTAATAATTTATTGCAGTTGATTTGATGTTAGCCTTGGTGTAGCCTTTTCTTATCAGTTTCCTTTGTTAAGTTTCATGGTCATAGAGTTTCAGACTTTAGATATGTGATTGGAAATATGCCTATTTCTGGCGCCAAGTTTCATAGTTGTTGTCATTGTTCTCTGTTTTAGAAACAAATTCATTAACTTAAACATTATACTATAAGAATTGATTAAAAGTCTAAACTCGTGTTTTTCATTGACTGAAATGGCAAATTTGTTGGATCTTGAAGGTTCCATTTCTCTGGATCTGCATTGGTTGATAAGAGTTCCTGTGTTAATGGCCTTGCTGATAGTTACACATTGACATAAAGGAAGGGAAATACTATAATATCTACAAACAAAAGAAAGCTTATAGCCTTGTCGGTATCTTAATATTGTTATGCCTTACAGATGAAATTATAAATGAAGCTTAGAATTGACTGAAACTTTTATTTGGTTTATAGACTTTATAAAGTTTATAAACTTTTCTTTGGTATCAAATAATGGATTGAGTTCCGGCAGTTGTATAGGTTATACATGAAACCCCTTTTCTTTGTTGGCATAAATTTGAGGATCATAAACAAAATATCCAAATTAGTCAAAAAAATACCTTCTTGCTTTATTCATCTTTATGCAGAAAGGCAAGGATAAATACGGATATGGTGGATGGTGGTCTGTTTGGTGGACTGGTACATATAGCATGGTACTCTCAAAGGCTGCCTTCTTCCACAAAAAGTATCTCAAACTTTACACTGATGAGATGCCTGCATCAATTAAAGAATACATAACCAGGAACAGGTCCCTTTTTATTTACTGCTGTTGCAGAGATTTTAAATGGTTTCATCATTTATATATGTTAGATGTTTATTATTTTACTAACTCCTAGGTTGGGTTCACCAGGAATTGTGAAGATATTGCAATGTCATTTCTTGTTGCAAATGCAACAGGTGCTCCTCCCATATGGGTGAAAGGTAAATCTAAAGCAGTCTTCATCATCTACTGTATTTTTCTTTCTCTACCTTGAACTTCATGTTCCGTATGCAAAAACAATGGGAGGCTTGCATAAAAAAACTTTAAAAATGGAAAGAAAGTTAACACCTCATTGACTAAAGATGAAAAATGGAAGCCAATTTTGGATTGTTCTTCCAAAGAGCAAATCATCAGGCATCAAGGAAGTACTAATCCATGTGTCATGACAGAGTAGACATGAGACAGATCATGGTTTAGTTCCACTTCAAGAAGTAAATTAGCATATGGATAGAAATGAGAACATAATAAAGATGATTTTTGCCGATAAGAACTGTGGTCTCTTAGGCTACATTTCTGAACCTATAGACATGCCATTATTACTTATTCCTGTAGATGCTGTATTTGAGTTGCTCTTCAGAAGCCTATCTATGAGTGAGATCTATGCATAGAATGAATTCAACTCATTTTGGCTAATGGATGCTAAAGCTTAATGCAAGTAATGATGTTTGTTTGTTTGATCTCTCAGAAAGATGCTTTTCTTGAGTGCTCTCTTCCAGCCTGAAAGCCAATTCTTGATAAACCTCTTGTTGTTTACTAAATTATGAACAAGCTTTGCATGTTTATTTCCTTTATGCTTTTCCATTCATTACAATGTTAAATAAATTCAATTAAATTCTTGTGGTAGGTAAAATATTTGAGATTGGTTCAACTGGAATTAGCAGCTTGGGAGGTCATAGTGAAAGAAGAACTCAATGTCTTAACAAATTTGTGGCTGAGTTTGGGCGGATGCCCTTAGTATCTACTTCTCTCAAGGCTGTCGATAGCCGCAATGTTTGGTTTTGGTGATGCTGGAGGATCCCTGCGTTTCGATTTCAAATTTTCCACTCATTTCGCTCAATCAGCGGTTGAAATATTCCAACTCTTCTTTTTTGTATCGAGTTGTATAATATTTTGGAAATTTTTATGTAGCTTACATGTTCTCGAGGACAGAGCTGTATTGCCCTGCGGCTCTTATAGCCTGGTTTTCTTGTACTTTTACCATGTGTAACAGCGTGGCAGTCGCCATTTGAGATTACCATTTATTCTGATTTCCGGATTAATGTTTTCGGATCCTATTGTAGAAACAGAATTTTATTCGTCTCTGGTTGGGGAAATCATATGAAATGTTCCTTCTTTTTCCTTCCATTGTTCTGTTGATGCTCATTCAATGCTGTTGCAATATTCCAAACTAGTAATTTAGCTAGCTAATAAAGAAAAGAAAATTGTTGTTAATCTAAGCTGATATTGGGAATTAGATCTCGCTTTCTCAATTATAGGGAAGGATAACCAGCGAAGCATGTATTACTACAATAATTGGTTTTTTGACATACCAAAATGCGGAGGAAAATGAGAGTCAGAGAGAGAAAGGAGAGGAAAGGAAAGAAACAAATAATTTTTTTCAAAAATAAGAAATTTATTTTAAAAAAATAAAAATAAAGGAAAAAAGTGAAATAAAATTTTTAGAAAATTTTTATTGTTATTTTACTTTTAAAAATAAAAATATTATAATTTTATTTTAAAAATAATACATGACAACTATTTGTATAATCACCTTATTGTCACATGTAATTTATGTAGATATCACATATTAAATTATAATAAATTGAAAAATATATGTGCATTACTGTGAGTATATCTAATAATTCATTTATTCATGTCATATAAAATAGTGAAAATTTATGCATTCATAATATTTTGTATGAAAATTACATGTCATAATTTGAATCAACAAAAAAAAACATAAAATACATTTTCTTGTTTATGTTAAACCCATATATGTTGTTTGTTAAAATTTTAACCTACGTTATTTTTATATTTTCTTTGTATTATTTTCATATCATGTTACTGTTAGGGATGAGAATTCAACCCGACCCCGACGGGTTCCGACCTGACCCTATGAGGTCGAATTTTTTTTTTGAATTTCGGGTTTCGGGTCAGGTCGGATAATGTTAGGAAATAATCGGGGTCGGGTCGGGTTTTAGGCATACCCGACCCTACCCGACCCGATATTATTTAAAAAATTATTTTTTAATTATTTATTTATATATATTTATATAATGATATTTTTAAATATTTATATTTAAAAAATAATATTTTTATTAATTTCGGATCGGATCGAATCGGGTACGGATTATATAATATCGGATTCGAGTCGAGGTCGGGTATGAAAAAATAACAAAAAATTCAGGTCGGGTCGGGGGTCGGGTTTATTGATGATAAAGTCGGGTCGGGTTCGGGGTGAGCAAAACCCGCCCCGAACCCGACCCGATGCCAACCCTAGTTACTGTTTTATGTTTTAAATTGTTTGATTAACTGTAGGTGAATTCTTTTATTTGTCATATATCTATTCATTGTTTTTCTTTTGCAAAATTTATCAAATTAAAAAAATGAAAGAAAAAAAAGGGCATGAAACGATTATATCTTAATTGATCCCTTTTTTCATCAAATTAATTTTAAAATATGAAAACAAAAAGCATAAAAGTGAAAAAAAGGGTAAATGAAAACAATTTGAAAAAACCTAAAAAGAGTTAAAAAGGGAAAAAAAAAAGCAAATAAAGGGTGCTACATTGGCATCGAATATTGAACTTAAAATTTTTAAAAAAAATTCTTAAATTAAAGTAAAAAGAATTACTTTATTACATAATACATATATATAGCTATAAAAATAAATAAATAATAAAATATATACTTTTATATGCACTTTAAAATGAATCGAAATAAAACATCATAAACATAACAAAAAATTTTAAAAATTTTAAAAAATTAAAAGAAAAAAATAAAAAAATTAGATAATATGTTGAAACTTTGAACGAGTATAAAAAATAATTAATTAAATTTATATAATAGATGTACGATATAATTTTAAAAATACTTATTAAAATTTCAAAAGAAAAATCTTAAAAAGGGTGAAAAGCAAAAAAAAAAAAAAGAATTAATAAAAATAGGTCCCACACATAAATAAAAATCTTTTTAAAAATATTTTTTTATAATTTTAAAAAATATTTATTAAAATATTTTTTAAAAAGTAAGAAAACAAAAAATAAAAAAAAACACAAAAAAGAAAAAAAAGAAAATTAAAAAATGACATGTGGCGGCATGAGGAGCCATTATTGTGTACCGTACATTTGCAAAATTTATTATTTAGACTAAGCATGATGCTCGTATGTTGCTACGAGTCAAATTTTTTTGTTTTGCTATCTATATTTAGTAATTTTTTATTACAAAATTTATTAATTAAAAAAATAAAATAAAGATGAAAGTTTTTTAAAGTCAAATGAAATAACACATGGATATCTCAAACGATCACTTTTTTTTTTCACAAAATTTATCTAATTAAAAAAATAAAAAAATGGAAAAGACCAAGAAAATAAAAAAAATAAAAAAAAGCTCAAAAAAGTGCCAAACAAACACTCCATTTAAGTTTAAAATATTAATTTTATAAATTAAGATATCAAATAATAACTTTATTAATATAATAAATAACAAAATAATAATGAAATATATATTTTTATATATACTTTGAAATTGATCAAGACAAAACATTATAAACACACTTTCCCCTCGATCTTATTTCTCTTAAAAAACTCGATTCATCTCAATTCAATCTCGACTTAAAAAATCATTTTTTATCATATTAGAATGGATTGAAACTCATTGAATATAAATTATTTTGGTATCTGTATTAATCGAAACCTTTTGTTATAAAAATTATCTAATTAAAACATATAAAAAACGTGAAAGAACAAAGCCAAATGGGGTGTCACATATATACTTTCATTGGCCTATTTTTCACAAAAATAATATAATAAAAAAGCATTAAAATAAAAAGGAAAAGAACAAAAAAAATAAAAAAAAAAGAGAAAATGAAGTCCATAAGAGTACTATATGGATATTTTAATTAAGTTTAAAATATTAATATCTTAAATTAAGATCTTAAATAATAACTTTTTATTTAAAAAATTAGTAAAAGAAAAAAAACAATAAAAAGAAAAATAATAAACAAAGAAAAAATGAAAAAATAAAAAGGGGAAAAAAGATCATGGGAATATTATGTAGGCATTTAAATTGAATTTAAAATGTTAATATCTTAAATTAAGTTATAAATAATAATTTTATTAATATAATACGTATATAAATATAAAATTAAATAAATAATAAAATATACTTTTATATATATCCGATGTGACTTGGGCACAATAATTTAAATTTCATTTTGACCTGTGTTTTATCTCCTAAATTAAAAATCTACTCGATTTGACTTGATATTAATTTTTTTAAAAAATATTCATATCTAATCGAGACAGATCGAAACTAATCGAATACTGATTGTTTTGTACTTTTAATAAATGACTCATTGGGTGTAAAATTTATATAATAAAATAAAATAAATAAATAAAGAAGTTACGTGAACACCTTTATTTACATTATTTCTTACAAAATTCATCTAATAAAAAATAAATGAAAAAAAATAGTAAAAAAAAAGCCCAAAATAAGATATGCAAAACACCATCGGGTTGAATCCACACCAATTGAATATGAATTATTTTGTCATCTCTATCTATCATCTTTTTTTTGTTGCAAAATTTATTTAATTAATAAACAAAAAAAAAGATGAAAGTTAAAAATCAAATTAAGGTATCACGTGGATAATTCCATTATTTATTTATTTTTACAAAATTTATCTAAATTAGAATATAAATAAAAAAAAGTTGAAAAAAAGAAAAAAAAAAAAAAGAGAGAGGCATAAGATGGCACATTAACACATTTAATAAGGATCTAATAAAAATCAAAATGAGTAAAATTTATATAATGAATGGATTATATTTTAATTATATATAAATATACTATTTTTATTAAATTAAAATATTAAATAATAATTTTATTAAAATAACACATATATAAATATATAAATATTTAAAAGATATAATTTTATTTATATATTCGAGATAGGATGAAACACTTTAAACTCGCCTCTAATTTGATTTCAATTTTAGAAAAGGAAAAACTTTGACCTTATCTTGAATTTTTTAAAAATTCGCACATATTGAATCAATCAAACCAAAACTCATTGGGTATAAGTTGTTTTATCATACTTAAATTAATTACCATTTTTATTACAAATAAATGATAAAAAAAAAATAAAAGGAAGTCAAATGAAAATAACACGTGAATTTAAGAAATTAAAATATTAAATAATAATTTTATTAAAATAATACATATCCATAAATATAAGATTAAATTAATAATGAAACATATATTTATATTATAGACTTAAAAACCAAATAAACAAAATAAACAAAAATAAATCCTAATGTGATGACCCTTTCATAATATCATTTTTTGTCAAAACTATCAAATAATAAAAAATGGAAAAAATAAAAGATATATGTTTAATCAACAATATCAAGTGGGTCTTAATTAAAAAAATTAGAATATAAAACATATTTATTAATTATTAAAAAGGAAAAAAAAGATAGAAATAAGTAGAACAAAGATAGAAGAAAAAAAAATAGAAGCAAATGACTTGATATATGGCAAACTTTTTGTATCAAGTAGATCACACAAAAAATTTTTAAAATCTTTAAAATCTTTATTTAATATATAAGAAAAAAATAATAAAAATAAAAAGCAAACATGTGGCATGACCTTGATATCAAAAAGGTCTCATATGAAAAGAAATTTGAAATCATTAAAAAATATTTATAAAAAATTTAAAAAAGAAAAAAAAAGGCAAAATGCAAAATACAAAATACAAAATACAAAAGAAAGATTGGTAGAAAAAGAACCTCTTTAAAAAATATAAATTAAATAAATATTTATAAAAAATAAAAACTTTTTGAAATAAAATTTATTAAACTAAGATATTAAAAAATAATTTTATTAATATAGTACATATATCTAAATTATGAGTTCCTTTTTTCTCAAAATTTATATTATGGATTAAAAATAAATTAATAAAGGGACAAAAAGGAAAAAATTATCAAATTTGAATGTGACATCAACACCTCTATAATATCTTTTTCTTTAAAGATGATCAAATGAAAAAGTAAAAAAATAAATTTCTAATCAATAGTATCAAATGGCTTTAACATTTAAGAAATGTTAAAATATTAAAAAAATTATTAGATAATAAAGAAGAAAAAAAC